ACATTACTAATTATTCACTGATATGTAAGAACTTGGGAGTAAACAGGATCAACAGATCTGAGAAAATAAAGGAGAAGCCCTTACCAATATTTGCTCTGGCTCCAAGAAACACTGTCTAGATATTAAGGAAGTGGAAAATCAACATCTACTTGTTAACAAAGTCTCTAAGGAAGAGCAGAGGAATTAAAAAGGAATTCCAAATTAATAGATCCTTCTGAGGTCACCAAACTACCCCAACCCACTTGATTTCTGAAGTGTATATGCAAACAGCCACCCTAAATATACGTATAACTTTATCCCTGGCCCTGGATCAGTCCCAAATTCCTGTATGAACTTACCTGGATAGACTGGGTTAGATAATGGATAGGTCTGCAGACACCTAAACATCCTGTTAGCCAAGGTCACATGGCAGGGAGCTCAGTGGTCTGCCCTGGCTCACTTTCTCTAGGCTTATACCAACCAGGTCCTGGTTGGTCTTGCAAGAGGGAGGACACCGGTAAACATGCGATTACAAGGGGCCCTTAATGACTGCCTCAACCCACCATCTAAATAATATGGGAAGCAAAAAGGAGATATAAAATTCACTTAGAAATAAAACTCTCTCCTATTCTTGCCTCCCACTGAAAGCTCTGCTCCTACTTTACCTGTATTCCTCCACCACCACTGTTTGTTCTCGTCAAGATCTTTGGCACTCCATCATAGCCTGGTTCTGTTATTTGAGTTCTTCTTCCTTAGGAGTGAAGGACTGGAGGAAATGTAGTCTTACATTCTCCTTGAATTGTTCAAGTGTTTGACCTACACTTTTTCACATCTTTTTTTCTCTCTTGGGCTGAGCATTTAAATTTATTTACATTCTGGGGTATTGCTTTTCCCTTCAAAGGAGGAGATCAGAAAAATCTGAGCAAAACCTTAAGAAGTTTCTTTTCCAGTCTTTGCCACTGCTGACACTTCTCCCCAGGACCATTTATGTAAACATTTAGGCTCCTCACAATCTTTCTGTGAGTGGCTCTTTAGTATTACACCAAAAGGCACTTAAATGAATCAGAACGTTAATTAAGTTTATCCCCGACTACCCCAGGTATGTCATGGGTACAGAATTTCTGTGGAGCAAGAGTCTGTGAAACGATCCCTGAAAATGGAGGTCCTTGGGCAATTGTTTTAGAAAATATCACCCTCCTAGGGTTTTACAATGCACAATAACATTTTTTTTATTATTTTTAATTTTTTAATTTATTTTTTATTTATTTATTTTTTTGCGGGGAAGATCAGCCCTGAGCTAACATCCCTGCTAATCCTCCTCTTTTTGCTGAGGAAGACCAGCTCTGAGCTAACATCTATTGCCAATCCTCCTCCTTTTTTCCCCCAAAGCCCCAGTAGATAGTTGTAGGTCATAGTTGCACATCCTTCTAGTTGCTGTATGTGGGACGTGGCCTCAGCACGACTGGAGAAGCGGTGGGTCGGTGCGTGCCCAGGATCCAAACCGGGGCCGCCAGTAGCAGAGCGCACGCACTTAACCGCTAAGCCACGGGGCCGGCCACAACATTTTTTTTTTTTTTTTAAATCTTAATAATCCTAACACAAAAACATCCATTTGACTTTTTAAAAAAATCTATGCAGCTCCAAATAATTTGACTATGAGAACATCTTTTTTTTAACATACAACCAAATAACATACCACAGTACTAGTATTCTTAGCATATGTTTTGGTAAATGCTAACTGTCAAAAAATCACTTACCCCCTATTCTATTCGTGAAGACAAAGTGACCACACAAGAAGCTTTTGCTCTGTGCATTAGATAAAACAATACTGCAATTCAAGTCATATAATTCCAAAGGAATAAAGCTGCTTAATCCCTTTCCTTGAACAATTCAAATCCATAAACCCTCCCTTTCAAGTCAATGTGTTGTAAACACACCTTAACTTCCGAATATAATTAATGTCCACATTTATTGCTTCCTCCTAAAAATTTAACCTCTCAAAATATTCAAAATGAATCTCACGTTAATAATTCCAAGACAACTATAAAACAGCTGCTCTCCCTCACACTCATTCTGCTCAATTCTAGCCGATGGTTCTCACTTCAGAATGTGGTTGGAGTCAAGGTCTCTTCTCTGCACTTACACTCTGGTACTGATGCTACTCTTTCAAGCATCTCTTGTGTTAGATTCTCCCTATTCCAAGTCAAATATGGTTTAAAATTTCCTTACATTTTGTCTTTCATGCATTCCACCTATGCCAAAATTCTGTGGCTTAAAACAACGTGAATTTCAAAAACACAAGTCCTAGGGGCCAGCCTGTGGCATAGTGGTTAACTTCGGTGTGCTCCACTTCGATGGCTGGGTTCAGTTCTGGGCATGGACCTACGCCACTCGTCAGTGGGCATGCTGCGGGTGGCGACCCACAGACAAAACAGAGGAAGATTGGCACAGATGTTAACACAGGGCGAATCTTCACCAGCAAAAACATTAAAAGAACAAAACCACAAGTCTTAAAAGTAAAGCCAATATTATCTTGATGTTGCAGTTTAAATAATATTTCTCAAGTAAAATACTGTTTGCCAAACCTAATACATATATTATTACCTAGACTTATAGTGTAATTTGCACCTTTAGACCAACATAGATACATTGTGTTATCCAGGGAAAAATGTACAGACAGACAAAACTGAAAGAACAAACCATGTAAGTTTAAAGAGCAGCTTTAAGATTGGTTTTATTGGGGGCCGGCCCAGTGGTGTAGCAGTTAAGTGCACGCGCTCTGCTGCAGAGGCCTGGGGTTCGGATCCCGGGCGTGCACCTGGGGTTCGGATCCCGGGCGTGCACCATCACACTGCTTGTCACGCCATGCTGTGGTGGCATCCCACATAAAGTGGAGGAAGATGGACATGGATGTTAACCCAGGGCCAGTCTTCCTCAGCAAAAAGAGGAAGACTGGCAATAGATGTTAGCTCAGGGCTGATCTTCCTCACAAAGAAAAAAAAAATTGGTTTCATTTTTCGTTGAGATGTGAGTCACTTCTAGGCAGGAGTCTAGAATCTACTATGTGTGAACCCAAAGTGCAATTGGGAAAATTTTCCAAACAAGATAATACAAGACTATGATCCTTACATCTTAATAAATGTCAACCACCCATTTTCTTCTCTCCTGAGACTAGGATTTGAAACATTTCAGTATACTAGTAAAATTTGAAAATTTATGGCTGTGGCAGTATTAGTATTCACATTTTCATTCTATCCATTTTAGGTCCACCATGCATATTTAAAAATATTTTAATTACCTTCAAAGTATTCAAGATTCCTTCCATTGCCTAGTTGACACTATGTAGTAGACAACCTATCCTGAATTGACTGTCGCTCTAATTCTACTCTTATTTGTGAAGTATATTCCACATTAATAACAGGAAATTCTCTAAGCAAAATCTTTGGCATTGTATCCCAGCTATTCCATTATTCCAAAGAGCTCTTCTCTTTATATTTTTCTAATCTGGCAGCTCCCCACATCTTTCTTAGCTATATATTCCCTTTTCCATCACCAAGACTGTTGAGCCTGCTTTATACTGGGGGATTCTTTAGGCCATCAGGATAGCTTTTTCTTGATTTCTAATTTATCTTAGCAGAAGAATTCTTCTCCAAAGATTTCTGAAGAGGAACTCTGTTTCTGATGTTTTCCAAGCGCATGTTCTTGGAGTTCCAGTGAGAAGCAAAATCTTTACCCCTGTACATTCCTCCATCCTCAGTTGTAAAATTTCTGCACCTTGTATGAACTTTCGCACTTCTATGTTATCACAAACATCAATTTCTGCTTTCCTGCTACAATAAGATATTTCTTTACTTCTTCAAGTATTTCCCTCTCAATTTAATACTTCAAGATGCCTCTGAGATTTGTGCCCACTCCCACTCTCTTTCTCAAATGTGGTGTTAATGCTGTAGCCTATATTTGAATTTATATTACGTTTTGTTTGCATACCAATTCCTGAAGGCTTTTTGCCTGAAGACATATTTACCACTGTCTATGAGATCTTCCAAACTATCAATTTCTCCAGCATGAATCTCAGCTGCACTAAGAGTTTGCATTACATGGTAGATGCTTGTTTCCATGGAATGGAAGCTGATTGGCACTTCTGGAAGGCAGTAACAATTCAACCTCCCAGCTTATTTTGTGATAGGAATCCATTAAACTGACTACTCCTCATCTCCAGCCAACACCATGTCTAGCTAACACTAAGCATGCACTAACTGGCATGCCTGTCTTTTATTCACTAACAATGTTTGTCATACTGGACTTTGAAAAGACCGAAGGGCATCAATCATTTTGTTTTTATAATATTTGCACAAAAAGATAGATTGTTTCAAGTAATCATATTCCAATGTTATTTTTGAAAGCTCTACTTATTTTTTCTTTGTTGTTAATTTTCCTTTTTTTTCCCCAAAAAAGTGAACTAAGTATAATTAACAGTTTATTCTATTTGCTTCCTGTTAGCCCTCTCCTGCTGGCTCTTCCACCTACCTGAAAATTCTTTCCCTGACAGCATGGGAACCATGGTATCATCTTCAGTCACTGGTACCACTTCCTTGCCACCCCCTTTCTAAAGTAGCTGAGCGACTAACTTTTGCATCAGAAAGGCTTGGATTCAGATCCTGGCTCTCTCCTGTTACAAGTTATGTGACTGTGGGGAAATTATTTAACTTTTCTGAATCATACATATATAAAGTTATAATTGCAATTATTACTTAATATATGGGATTACTGTTATGATCATATGAGATAACCTATAATAGGCATATAGGAGAGTCTCATGTCCCTCCATTTTCTTTATTGTAATTAACTGGATCACCAAAAGGTAGACATCAAAATTCAAAATCCTGGATTTCTAAATCTTGATCAGAAGATTTTCAGAAACTAATCTTCAAGTTGTAACTGAATGTTATTATTAATACTAATGAGACTATCTAGTGATTGGTTATACTCCTAATGGCTGCTCATTCTTTTTGCATAATTAGGAAGCACAACCGATGGTGTCAGGGAGAATGAGTTCATCACCACAAATGCAACAGTGACAAATCTTCCACTTACAAATGTTGTTTCAACATTACAAAGTTCCCACAGTAAGAGTAAGTATAAGAATTTGTGCTGAAATGTGTGTGTTGGATACTAGTGTGTTGGGTAGAATTTCATTCAGAATGTTTTTCAACCCACAGCTACCAAAGAACCATGCCCCACTTATATTCTCTCCTAGACTCTACCAACTGGGACAACCACTTGGCAACTTTGCTTTGTACAGTGATACTCTATCCCTTCATAGTACAAATGGGTGGGTGCCAAGGAAGATGGATTCAAGGCTAGGCTTATGATATCACCTGGCACAAAAAGATGAGCTTGGCCAACAAATTAGACAACTTTGATGAAATGGGAAAATTCTGAGCAAGAAATAACTTGTCAAAACTGACTCAAGAAGATAGGAAATCTGAAAAGACCTAAAACAAAGATATTGCATTAGAAATTTAAAATGGTCCCATGAAGAAAACTCCAAGCAGGATGGCTTCAATTGTGAATTCTATAAAATATTTTCAAAAGAAGTGATACTAATTCTTCTCAAACCCTTTCAGAAAGTAGAGGAGGAGGGAACACTGCACAAGTAATTATCTGAGGCCAGTATTACTCTGACACCAAAGCTAGAAAAGAGCGAAAAGAAAAAGCAAGTCACGAAAACTACAGACCAATATCATTCATGAACATAGATGCAAATATCCTTAATAAAATATTAGCAAACCAAATTCAGAAACATATAAAAAGGGATAGAAAATATGAACAAGTGGGATTTATCTAGGAATGCAAGGTTGGTTCAACATATGAAAATCAAGTAATGTAATACACCATATTAGTAGAATCAGTAGATGCAGAAAAAGCATTTGACAAAATTTAACACCCATTAAAACTCTCAATGAACTAGAAATAAAATGTAACTTCCTGAAACTGATAAAGGATATCTACAAAATATATACAGCAAACCTCATACTTAATAATGAAAGACTTCATGCTTTCTTCTTAAGATTTGGAACACAGCAAAGATGTCCATTCTCACCATTTCCTTTCAAAATTATAACCAAAGGTTTTATATAATACAGTAAGGTGGTAGGTAGATGGATAGATAGACAGACAGACAGACAGACAGATGCATTTATCTAGATTGGGAAGAAATAAAACAGTTTTTCTTAGCAGACTACCTCTTACCTATGTAGAAAACCCAAAGAATCCATAATAAAACTACTAGAACTAATAAAAAGTATTCCATTTTACAGGATGTAAGATATACAAAAACAAATCATATTTCTGCATGTTAACAATTACAATCCAAAAATAAAATTAAAAAAATAATGCAATATACAATAGCATCAGAAAGAATAAAATATTTAGGAATAAACTTAACAATAGAAGTGCAAGATTTGTACACTGAGTATAAAACATTTCTGCAAGAAATTAAATATCTATTTTTGTGTGTGTGTGTGTGAGGAAGATCAGCCCTGAGCTAACATCTGATACCAATCCTCCTCTTTTTTCTGAGGAAGACTGGCCCTGAGCTAACATCCGTGCCCATCTTCCTTTACTTTATATGGGACGCCGCCACAGCATGGCTCGACAAGCAGTGCATCAGTGCGCACCCGGGATCTGAACCGGCGAACCCCGGGCCACCGCAGCGGAGCGCGGGCAATTAATCGCTTGTGCCACTGGGCCGGCCATAAATATCTAAATAAGTGAAGAGACTTTACATATTCATAGTTGGAAGACTCAATATTTTAAGATGGCAATTCTCCCCAGCTTGATACATAATTGATTAATATATTCAATGTAAACCCTATCAGAATCACAGCAAGTTTTTTCTTTTAGAAATTTATAAGCTGATCCTAAAATATATATGGAAGTAAAAAGGACCTAGAATAGTCAAAATACTTTTTTTTTTATAATTTTATTTATTTATTTTATTTTTTCCCCCAAAGCCCCAGTAGATTTTTGTATGTCATAGGTGCACATCCCTCTAGTTGTTGTATGTGGGACGCGGCCTAAGCATGGCTGGAGAAGTGGCGCAGCCATGCGCGCCCAGGATCCGAACCACAGCTGCCAGCAGCGGAGCGCGCGCACTTAACCGCTAAGCCATGGGGCAGGCCCAATAGTCAAAATACTTTTGACAAAGAAGAACAAAGTTGGAGGACTCGTACAAGCCAATTTCAAAACTGATTCTAAAGCTATAGTAATCAAGACAGGGTGTTATTGAGATAAAGATTGTTAATAGTAGCATTATTCATAAGTGTCAAACTGGAAACAATGCAAATATCCATTAACTGGTGAAATGGAATATCTCATTGGATTTTCCATTTGGAAAGAATTTGGAATATTCCGAAACACAGCATATCCATACAATGGAATACTATTCACCAATTTAAAGGAACAAAATACTGATATATCGTGTAACACTATAAACCTCAAAAATATTATGCTCAGTGAAAGAAGCCTTTCACAAAACACGACATATTGTGTGATTCCATTTACAGGAAATATTCAGAAATGGACATTTTTATAGAGACAGAAGTCAGATAAGTGGTTGCCTAAAGCTGGAGGTGGGACTGGGGATGGACTGCAGAAAAGCTCAAGGAAGTTTCTTGTGTTGATGAAAATGTTCTAAAACTGGATTATAGTGATGTTGTACAACTACATGTTTACCAAAAATTATTGAGTTGTATACTTAAAATGAGTGAATTTAATTGTGAATTTCTTTGTAAAGCTTTGTTTAAAAACAAAAGAAAAGAAAATGTTGAGCAAGGCCAATCAAATTTCCTTTCTAGGTAATCTGAACGAGAAAACCCAAACAAACAAAAAATAAGTGATTAGGTGTGGGAACTGAAGCAGCAAGGTTTTAGTAAAGTGAGTCTGAGACAGCCATGGTGATTCCTGTCTATGCCTATGGCATGAGGAAGTACATTCTAAGTAAGTAGAGTTGATAGTGAAGAAGGGACAGAGTATATGGGGAGATGAGAGACCCCACAAGCAAGATTAAGTTGTTCATGAGAGGCGGAGAGAGTAGCAGGACCCACGGCTCCCCTGATTTCCCACAGCTTTCCAGTTCCAGTCCACATATATCTTCACAACAAGCGCTTCCCACAGCCTGTGAAGTAATCAGTAGTTTTAGTCAAAATATCCTGACTAGAAAAGAGAATAATCTGCCGTAACAGCCTTCTCAGATACTGTTCTTTATAAATAATGGATGCATTCTTGTTATATACATAGTTCTTAATAAGAAACAGCTACAGATGACTCACAGTCTCCAAGTCTCTTCTTGGGAGACCTCTAAGGTAGAAGGAGATGGCAAGAGGGAGCTGTGGATGTCCAAGGCCCACTCTTGTCCAGAAACACATAGGGAACTTCCATTTTCTCCCTTTTTATTGTAATCGTCTTAAGCACAACATAAAGCAGGTTATACAGAAGGAGTCTAATTTCACAACATAATTGTAAACTAATAATTTTATTTAATGAGACAATCGACACATAGAGGAATTGGAAGAGTAAGGTCATTTCTCCTTCATATGAAGAACCTTTCGCTGTGATAGTGTTTTGGCTTCTGATAATTAGAACCTATTTTGTAGGCACTATATATCTGAAAGGTGCCTTTAGCCAACCAAAACCCCATCCATCTCATAACATGATTGCCCCGAATACAAACAAGAATAAAAGTAAATTTCTGCAAAATGTGTAGCAGTTGAAGATTAAACTCAAATACTTTTTACTCTGCACTAACACCCACCCTTTCAGTGACTGATGAGAAAACGTCATTCAGGGACCATGGTTTATTAAAATTAGCACTTATTCAGAAGTGTGTGGTCAGCCCCGTGAGTCACTTAAGACTTAATTTTACTTTGATTCATACAGCAAAATGCCTTCTGCTTCTCTGTTCTGGGGACTATTGTATTTATTTAGCTTCTAAACACAGTTTGAAGTGGCTTTCTTCCAAGTAGTTTAAAAAAAATACACCCACAAAGCCATTTATTGAAAAATGAGACACCCTGGAAAGCAAGATAATGAAGTAACGGTATTTACTGCTTCCCTTTGCGTTTGCAGATTGATTAACCAGTTCTATACTAAGTCCCTTAGATATTTTGTTGTAAAACTCATTCCTTGGGAAGCCATTTCTCCCCAGATCTCTCTCATTGCTCAAAGTGCTTCCTGCTTAGCATGGACCCCACTTGATATAATGAGTTTGCACACATTTCCATTTGTGCATGATGGCACTAGAAGCCCGCCTAGATTCCTGGTTAGCAGAGCAATGCTCCCTCTCCATCTCCATCCCTCACACACGTAAACATTCAGATTTAGTGAAGCCAAGACAGAGAGACAGAAAGAGAACACAACAGTCTACTGGTAGGGGATGGTTGAACAGTTGAAGATTCATATCCCTCTTAAACATATGGCATTGTGGGTACGTCATTTCAAGAGCAGAGTTGATTTAGAGTAGAGAAGAGTTAGTGAGATTTATTGCTTTACTCCCTAGAAAGGTGGAATGTAGATCAAAAAAGAAGCATGTCCTCAAGCCATTTCTTTCTAGTCATTTCCCATTCTCTTAAAGTTGTGTGTGTTTCTCCTGTTTTACTCTTTTATTCTGCCTGTAGAAGACAAATTTCTCGAATCCTAGAATTTTTATGATAGAAATCCTCATTAATTCAGTGCTTGGATTTTATAGTTAAAGAAATGAGGGCCCTTTGAATTAATTAATAAATCAATTTATTCACTAAAAATGCTTTGGAGGGCATCTGTGTGCCTGGCATGCCTCCCAGCCTCTGGGCGTGGCCAGCAATCCTCTGCGTTTCTTGGCTTGTAGATGCATCACTATAATCCCTGCTTCTGTCTTCACATGGCCTTCTCCTCTGTGTCTCCTCTTCTGTCTGTGTCTTCTCTTCTTATAAAGACACTTGGATTTAGGGCCTACCCTAATCTAGAATGATCTCGTCTCAAGATCCTCAACATAATTACACCTGCAAAGACCTTTTTTCCAATAAGGTCACATTCACAAGTTCCAGGTGCACATAACCTTTTCAAGGAGGAGGGTCACCATTAAATCCACTCC